AGGCCACAGCGCAATAAAGCCGCCCCCAGCACTGTAACTCACTCCCTGTCCACACTGGCAAGGCATTTGCAGCGCTGTATCTCCCTGGCTACAGCGCTGCAGGTACTCCACCTCCCCGAGAGGAATAACAGCTGCTGCGGAGTGGCTGAGATGCTGGTGCTCCAGTGTAAATGGGGAGTAACCTTATTACACTGTGATTGACCTCCGGAAACTCCCCATAATCCTTTTAAGTGAAGCTTCCTCTCCTTGTTTTGTTGTGATGCCTCTCTTTGTTTTGTTGTGAACTCCAGGCTCCCGGAGCTGCTTATCAAAAAACCAAACAGCTACTGTTTGCTGTGTATGAGTAGAGGCATGCAGGGGGGCTCCCTTTGGAATGTTTGCTTGAAGAGAGAGGCGGCTTGCGGGTGTGGGGCGGGAAGGTCCGTTTCTGCGAGTGGCTGCTTATCTGGTCTGTGAGGAAAAAAACAAACTGCCGCTGTTTGCTTTCAGTGAGTGAGAGAGGGGTTGGAACTTGCAAGGCAGGGTGCGTGTCCGCACTCCAAAAACCCACTCTCTCTCCCCCCCCCACGCTCCCTGTCACACTCCACCCCACCCTCACCCCTTTTGAAAAGCACGTTGCAGCCACTTGAATGCTGGGAAAGCTGCCCATAAGGCACCGCTCCCAATGCCGCTGCAAATGTGGCCACAACAGTGCACTGGCAGCTGTCAGTGTGGACAGACTGCAGCGCTTTCCCTACTCAGCCGTACGAAGACAGGTTTAATTCACAACGCTGTACTGCTGCAAGCGTAGCCAAGGCCTGAGTCTCTATAAAGTGCTACAAGGACTCCTCGTTTTTAGATTATTTTGAAATTTGGTGCGCCGCATGAGGGCGCTGTGAGCTCACCTTTCAATTAACTTACAGCTAACTATACATTAATAACAAGCCCCACAAAGGAGTCATGGCTGGCAGTTTTATTTTTGGGGGCGGGGGAGAAGGGAATGTAATGAAACTATTTGAGAAGGAAAAAATTGACATGCTTCCTGGGACGGAAGGGATATAGGGGATAGTGGAGAGGGGGATAAATGGGGATGGGAAGTTGGTGCTCAGAGAGAGGCTATGTAGCCTACCACCACCACCACCACCACCCTACTTTAATATGATCAACACAACCTATTTCTCTTTAACCTCGTTCTCTGAAATGGCTGAACTGTTTTTGTTATGCCTTTCCAAAAAAATTCAGTGTGAGGCAGACACCCAGCATGGAAAACTTCATACTTCAATTTTTCAGGCTGGCAAAGCTATAAATCAACTGAAAACAGTCCTAAAATGGAAAGTGTTCAGTAGGCTGCCTGCTCTGCTTATTTTTTGTAGTTAAGTTGTTTAATACAGTCATCCTTCATTCAAGTGTTCTAAATGTTAATAACTATCAGGCTCCAAAATAATGTTGTACTAAAAGGATTTAGGACCCAATTTAGCAAAGCACTTAAGCACATGCTTAATTTGCAGCACATCTGTAATCCTATTGAAGACAATGGCACTACTAATTTGATTAAAAGTAAGCATGTGTTTTGGTGCTTTGCTGAATTGGGACCACATTTTGGCCATTTTGAAGTTGTGTATTTAGTCACTGATGATTCTGATTATCTCCTAAACTTCATAAAAATACAATACTAAGAATCTGAAGAAAAGAACATTTTTCGAATGAATTCAAAATAAACTGTATCCCTTGGTAATTTGAAGTGTAGGAAATTCAAAACAAAGCATTACGAACGGGTGTTTAAAAATAGTCAATTATGCATGCAACTACAGTGACTAAGCTCAAATGCTGTTCCTACAAAGAGGCACAAAATGTAAGTGAATACATGAGTACATGTGTACTTTTAAAAACAATTCCCTAATTGATAAACATACATTTTCAGGCTTAACTAGATGACAGATAATCCAAGACTACCTTTTTTGTTTCAGTAATATACTTGCTAAGTAGCTTTTAGGATCTCATTGCAGGACACTAGTTTTTATACTCTAAAATGTCATTTGCTGAAAATGTTAGGGTTCAGGTTCCATTGCATACAGTTTTCTAGATACAACAATTGCCATTTTTACCAAAAAATTGCAATACACAGTCCTAAAATGGTAGCAGTACAAGTTAAAGTTAAGTTGTCTGGCTTTTTTGAAGACCCACTATGAACACATTACCTGTGCTCAGATATGAGTGTAAACCAAGGTGCTGGTAATCAGTCTTTAAAACTCAATGATTAGGGACTTGTCTACTAGAGAGAGTGTATCACATCCAGTCCTGCCAACTGCTGAATGTGATGAGCTCATGGAAGCTGAGGACATCAGTACCTTCCAGGATCAGGTACAAAATTAAAATTTAACCTACCTTTACTACTTCCTCTTTCTTGCTCTCCGCTTGTTTTTCCTCTGTCTCCGTATCTTCCTTTCAGTCTCCTTTTTTTTGGTGACTAACTTGCATTCATTCCTTCAGCCTGGGTAACCTAGGCTGATTTACTGAAACAAAGTACAGCATTGTGGTGCTGGGTGTCAGCTGGGGGGAAAGGCAAAGAAAGCAGTTAATCAACCTAGACATAGCAGCATGAGTGCAGCATATTGACAACATATCAGATGCATCACAGAAAGCCAAGGAGAGATGTTTTCTAATGGTCTTAGTTTGGAAATGCTGACAAAAATCCCAGTGCCCATACTCCGTCTTTAATAAGGCAAAACACCCACACTGATTCCAAAGGGAGTTTTACCTGACAAGTGACAGAGCAGAGGACTGTTGGATTTGACCTATTAAACTAAGGGTTCCAGTATTCAATTTAGTTCAATAAAGTTGATTTTTAATGAGAATATATAGGACAATGGTTAGTTTCTATGGCCTAAAATGTTTTTTCCAGCTCCCTTATATTAAATAACCTATCTTGTTATAGTGTGTAAGGGAATTGCATACCTAGGTGTTCCTGTTTTAAAGAAACACTCTTCAAATTTTTTGTGAACAAATAAATTCTTTCAGAATAAAATTGTAGTGTTCCTCTAGTATCCACAAGGTGGTGAGCAATCTCTTCTTTTCTGACATCTGGCTTTGGGCACAAGGATTCTGAGTAGCACTTGAAAGTTATTTTAGGGTAGAAGGAAAGATTTGTTTTTAAGAACCGCATATTTTATAATTCCAGAAAGGGTTCAGCACTAACGTCTCATTCTGTGCTTCTACAGAGTAGCTGTTATAGCTAATAAAAGGAACCATGGTCAAGGATATCCCTAGTTTTTATGGAGGCCTCCTACAAAATTTGAGGCTCCATTTAGCTCCTTCCTCACCTTACACCAAGCCCTCAAACTTTGCACATGCCATTTTCTGATTTAGTACCTGAAAGTTATGTTTATCTTTGTACAAATGAAAAATACACAACCAGAAAAACAACTCCCCCTCATTAGAGTCTCTTTACAAGTCAGTTACTCCTCAAATAAGACTACTAGAGTTGTGTGAAGAATTCACAGCAAATATTTTCAAATGAACAGGTTGATTCTCCCTTACTTATTTGCTCTTCAGAATTATTAACCAAATTTCATTTAATACTTTTTGCTCTATAGGTTGTGGGAAAGTCTGTTTCAGACTATCATCATATCAGGACAGGAACTCCATCTTTCTCTCTGTAACCTGCCACAGTGGGCAGACTGTTAGCACCCCAAAAATAGATCTGATTTAGAGTTTTATAGTGGTTATCATCACAATATTGTAGGAAGCATCTAGACATAGGTTGTGTGGGTGTAGACAACTAAGTCTGGAAGGCTCTGAGTCTAACACCTACTTAGGGATTACATTAATAAAAGAAATGCTGTATTTTGAACTGAAGCTCATCTCACTTGATTAGAAGTGGATACATTTAGTTATGGTACAAAATTTCTCCTTAAAAGTGATATTCAGTGGCTTTTTTTAAACTCTAATTCCCCCCCGCCCTCAATAAATAAATAAAAGTTGTCTCCCTGGATTAGCAGAATGAAGGCCATGGTGTACTTCATGGAGTCTTCTGTTCTCCCTTTCCTTGGGGGGTTTAATTTTGAGGTAGGAGCACTGTTGTCTCATTTGGTTATGGTCAGAAAGGTGTTAGCAAACAGGAAGATCATGCAGCATTTCCTAAAGGTGGCCAGACTGAATTAGTTGCACTGGATATTTGTTCTATAGCTAGACCCCCATGATCAAGAATGCCTGATCGCTGACTATCTTTTGCTTTTACCTCAGCTTTGTGAAGTGCAACTATCTTGGCAGCTTAGATACAGAGATGCAGCAAGGACCAGAGCCATTAATGACTTTTAATATCAGGACCAATGCCTTGAAAATATTTCTTGTAAAACTGTGTCCCAGTATCTGGAAAAATAGGAGGTCTTTTATTTTTAATTTCCTTGAGAGAAATGATACTCCAGCTTGGTTTACGTAATACAGCCCCATGCAGAGCTCTTTTAACTCAGATAGTACAGGAATGTTGTTACACCTGATTTGTCTCACTGTGAATAAGTATATTAAAGGTAATCAACTATTTCAGAGGAGACAGATGGGGCTAAATTAAAGACAACATGCCACAATTGCTCAACTGTATTTAGGTTATAGAATATTTTTCGTTGCAAAACATTTCTGATTAATTTTGTCTGCTCAGTCACTTCAGGACACTAGCTTTTTTTTTGTCAGTATTTCACACTAATAGATTTCAGAGAGCTTGTAAAGTAATGTTCTCTGAAAAAGTCAGAAGCCTGATTCAGCACTCCAGTTTTATACCAGTACAGCTCCATGGATTTCAGTGTTCAAGTGAACATTTCTCCATTTTTTGTGAAAGTTTAGATCAGGGGTCGGCAACCTTTCAGAAGTGGTGTGCCAAGTCTTGATTTATTCAGTCTAATTTAAGGTTTCGCGTGCCAGTAATACATTTTAATGTTTTTAGAAGGTCTCTTTGTCTAAGTCTATAATATATAACTAAAATATTGTTGTATGTAAAGTAAATAAGGTTTTTAAAATGTTTAAGAAGCTTCATTTAAAATTAAATTAAAATGCAGACCCTCTTGAACCGGTGACCAGGACCCAGGCAAGTGTGAGTGCCACTGAAAAATCAGCTCGCGTGCCACCGGTTGCCTACCCCTGGTTTAGATAATGCCAAATCCACTTGTAAGATACAGGAACATAGAGCTTGCCATAATGAGTCACCCCATCCTTCATTCATGTCTTATATGGTCTCCTGTCTGGCTATTGCGAATCCCTAACACTTCATAGGGGAAACTCCCAACTATAATGCACCTACCCAATTCTGGAGTGACAAACTGTATGCATCTGTGTGCTTTTTGACTTCCGCTTGCGTTTTGCCATGCTGTGCTGTACAAGCATACAGTAGACACTACTAGTCCATATGCAGTTGGCATGAGAGCACCATACTCCACCAAAGTGCAAACTAATTAATTTTGAGACAGCTCCCCGCAGCAGAAAGCTAAGTGTCACACTTCAGTGAACTACCTTAGTTAAGCCATTTTGTTAGTCTCAAGTATTTTCAACAGGAAAACCTTGACATGTACATAGTACATGTACACAACTGACAGATTTACACTCTGGCAAGACAGTAACTATGTAACACTTTATATAAGAATCCTGGGCAGTCTTTATTCTATTTCAGATATGGCTGTTGTAATAGTAATCAGTCATGTCAGTAGAAACAGACTCCTCCTTTGCCAGGAACTCTGATACATAGATAGATAATTGGGACTAGGAAATAAAGTTCCTTTGTCTTGTACCAGTTCTCTTATTACACTGTTATTAAACTCATCAGTTAAAAAAAGTGAGATGTGCAAGATCATTTGTTTCTGTATTTTTTCCCCCATCACTTTCACTCACTCCACAAGAACATGGTGTTTCTTTTTGTTTAATTATTGCAATTGTGTTGATACATAACTAAGTATGCTATGGATAAAGTTAGTTTGTAACTGAGTAAAATATCAACCAAATACTGTTATTATATAACTATATAAATGTAGTGAGGCAGTGTGGGTCTCTGCTGCCCCAGAGAGAGATGAGCCTCTCTGGACACCAGAGGGTTAGGCATGGCACAGGAAGTCCAAAGGCCTAACTCCAGAGCTCACTGCGAGGGCAGCCGCTGGGGAGGCTAGATGTCTCCAGCCTACCTCCGAGTTGGGAAACCCCAGCAACCTGCAGCGGACCCAAGGGCTGGCTGGGCCTGCCCCAGGCCAGCTACCCGGGTTGCCAAGCCTGCCCTGCGCTGGCTATCCCAAGGAACCCATGGTGCTGGACCCCCGCCTGAGGACACCACCCTGACCCAGGTATCTCAAGTCTGGCTGCACCACTGCCAGAACTCATGTCAGTGTGTTGCAACCACTGACAAAGCAGCAGGTCCTCTGCTCCTGCTAGGGCCCCGGGCTGGGAGGCAGTGTAATGGGAAGGCCTGCGTCCCCCCTGCCACCCAACTCACGGGTGGCAGCCGCTCCCAGGCCTTCGGACCTAGGGCCTGGGCTCACTGTTTATATACTGTTATTGCTCATCCCGTGCCTGAGGACCTGACTCACCATTGCCCTGCCCTGACTTAGGGGCTGGGCTCACTGTTTATATACTGTTATTGCTCATCCCCTGCCTGAGGACCTGACTCACCATTGCCCTGCCCTGACTTAAGGCCTGGGCCCACTATGTATATACTGTTATTGCTCAGCCCCTGACGCACCATTGCCCCGCTGTGACCTAGGGCCTGGGCTTACGCCTAACTGTTTATTTCTGCCCTCACAAGGGCCGTGGAGGAAGACTCCTGCAGTCAGACTAATTCCCTGTTAGGCCTCCTCCCAAACTTAGTGAGGCGGTGGGGGTTCCCGCCGCCACAGAGAGAGATGAGCCCCAACTAACCTCTCTACAATAAGATGCCTTTCTTCCTGAAGAATCCTAAAGTGTCTTAGAAAACATAAAGAAACATTCTAAACATAAATTTATCTTTGCTGCATTTCAGAGATGAGTTCTGTTAAGCAGCTCACAGTAACCCAGCACAACTATTTAGAACAAGAAATACTGTATTCAGTTGAAGTTGCAGAAGGGTTTAGGTAGGCAAAATACAAGTATCTGTAATTGAATTTGTCATAGGTACCAAAGTTAGCCACCTACTCTTTTATGGAAGTACCATGGGAATTTTAGCCACCAACAAGAAGTTCCCTGTGCGGCAGCCTCCCAGCAGGCTATCAATTGCTGGCAGTTCAGCTGTCCCTCCCCCCACTGCATGTGCTGCTCCTGCCCTCTGCTCCCTGAAGCCTCCTGCTTGCTGGGGGGAGGGATGAGGGGGGCTAATATTAGGGTTACCATATTTAACCAATTAAAAAAGAGGACCCTCCACGGGGCCCTGGCCCCGCCCATTTCCCACCCCAGCCCTGCCCCAATTCCACCCCTTTCCTGCCCTAACTCCGCTCCCTCCCACTCCCAGCCACTTGGAAAGGGCTGCCCGAGCGCTACTGGCTTCACGGTTTGCCAGGCAGCCCCCAGACCCTGCGCCCCCGGCCGGCGCTTCCCCAGCGCAGCTGGAGCCCGGGAGGGGAAGCGCCC